AAAAAAAAAAAAAAAAAAAAAAAAAAAAAAAAAAAAAAAAAAAAAAAAAAAAAAAAAAAGGAAAAAGGGGTGAGTATAAAAATATACTCGGTAAGCAACCTAATTCTAGGCTGTTTTCGTATCGTTATCTTAGTAGGTATACATGGTCTTATCTCTGGATTTTAGTGAGTGCGAGTCATGCTAACAAGTTTATTTTCTGTATCTTAGGAGGCTTGCCCATCTTATGCAATGGAATGATCAGTATCATGAGCTGAGGTGCGACCTCACAAGTAAATCTGAGGGGATCTTATGGCTATATCTGAACATCATCCATGGAGATCAGTTGACAACTCACACACGGGACCATACATCCACTAAAATTGGGGGTTGCGATCCCTTGTGTGTCGGTCAACTACAAAGTCATCTTACATGGTTCCACATCCCCGCTCAGGGACGAGTTTCTATGGCCCAGAAGTCTTGTTCATAAGACCCCTTGGTTATCACCACTAGGTCTAGGCACCTGTCACACTTCCCTATCCGGATCTACCAAGCCCAACGATCTCCATACCGAAGCTCTATCTCGATGGTACCGAAGCTCTGTCAAGAAAAAAGAAAAAAAGAAAAAAGTCCACCCCACTACTAGTTGGTACTCTTTCTACTACTATGTTAATACATAAATTGTTTCAAATAGTTGGACTTTTTTTTTATTGACATAGAACACTCACATAGATAAAATGATTTGAACCCCTTTGTAATTTTTTTTGTAAAAAAATTTTAAAAAAATGAGGATGAAATCTTCATTTTTTTTGACCCATGTTAGGTATAAAGTAACAAAAATTAGTTGCCTAATACAAATCCAGAATGCTAGATATGGATTATAAAGATTAGAATAGTATTCACATTTAACCAAATAATTTGATTGTACATTATTGTACAAAGAAGGATGGTACATGGGCGACCGGGGTAGGGGAGAAGTTGTGGTGACATGCGCTGTGGGGATTTAAGAGAGACAAGGAAAGCAAAAACTTAGAAGGCAGTACTGAAATAGGAGTTGACAACATTGGAGCGCAAGATGTGGAGGATAGCGTTGTTGGTGGAGCCAACAGCACGAGGGGTTTTGTACTGACTCATAGCCGATCCTAAGGACAGAGAATGTTCCATGATCTTACGGAAAGTTCCCTTACGGACCACCCTAAGCTCCAGGGCTCCAATGGCCTTCACCTTTCTCGAGCTCACGTATCCCGCGTCCTGGAACGCCCTGTCCAGACGGTTGCAGCACTCTATCAGCACCTCCTCCTTTGCCTCCCCGCTTATCTCCCAGAATATCACATAGTGCCCCGGCTCGCTCGACATGTCCACATGGCTTGTGAACTCCACCAGTTCCAGCTTCTCTGCTGCCAGTACGTTCCTTGCTGCTTCCACTGCCAGCTGCAGGTCCTTCTCCGTGATCTTGTCGATGTTGATGCTGGGCAGAATGTTGCTCCGGCACACGAATTTCAGCTCTGGCGTTGCGTTGTGGAACCCCATCACTTTCACCACGTCTCCTAATCTATAACGGTATAGCCCTGCAACAACCATGGTAAAATGCTTCTAGATATCTTGCAAGTAAGCGTGAATTCACGATGTCTAGAACTGATCCCGTTGGAGCAAGGTCGTATAGAATGTCATGTATTGAAAGGAATTACCTGCAACATTGGTGACAACAATTTCGTACTCTTCACCGATCTTGACTTCGGTCAGACCAACCGGCTTGTTCTCCTGCGCTCCCTCCTGTTCCTGATCTTGAGCATTCGCTTTAAGCGGGATGAACTCGAAGTATCCAACGTTTGGAAGCACAGCAAAGGTGGTCAATTCAGGGGGCAATAATGGGTTAACGTTAGGTCCAATCCATCCTTCTGAAGAGCCATAATCGGCACTCATCAGCGGCAAATGCCCCGCGTAGTGCCTCAGTTTCATCAGGTAAGGCTCCATAGAGCCTGTCATGATCCCATATATATACTTGGCATTCGGAAAGAGCTCTGGTATCAGCCCAGACCAATTACTCAATCCTGCACATTTTTTATAGATCAAATCAGCCAATTCAGGATCTGGCTTAAGCAATTTCGACATGGCTGCACGAATCGAGGGATCAGTGACCCAACTCGAGAGAACCCCGTCTCGAATGTTGGTGCAGAGCTCTTCCCATACTTGCTCAAAAGTCCTGAAAGCAAGGATAATGCTGTGTGCAAAAGAGGAGTACACCAACTCAACTTCATCTCGGTAGAGCAGTCCACACAAGAGATGGCAATACAAAGATTGGTGGACGTCGGAGCCAAAGATGACCTCGTCTGGGCTAGAGCATTGCGACCGGATTGATTTCATCGTGCTTTTGAATTTCGGACTGCGAAAAACATTAGTTGTTGCAGTTCCTGCTGTCAGACCACCCTTGGTTTTGAACTGTTTGCTGCTATAGATGAACTGCAATGCTTTTCCATTGCCAATAGGAACTTGTCTGCAGCACAAAGAAGTCAGATCAGCCATGACAAACACCCATTTTACACTATACAGAACTCAAAAAGACAGTAGAAGGACAACAAATGGAACCAATAAGCTGTTCAGTTCAGACAAACAAACGATTCAGAGACCAAAAAAGACAGTTTCATTACCTGTTTCTGAAGGCAAAAGACGTTAAAAACGTTTGCATTGTCGTCTCCACCAGTGAATCATTGAAGGGAATGAACTTGGGCCTCCCCTTGGTAGTACCAGAGCTACATCGTACAACCAAAGATGTCCTTAGAAGAAAAAACAACACCAAAATCTCTAGTACTATGAATTTGCAAAAGTACCTCAACGACATAGATTCGATTGGTTTTCCAGTGAGAATAGGGGAAGAATCCCCATCGGCGATTCTCTGAATATATGCCTCAAAATCATCGTGAGTAGCAAGCGGGACGCATTCCTTGAAGCTCTCGGGATCAGTTCTTCCATTAAGTCCCAAATTCTGCAAGTACTCAGCCCACCCATTTTCCTCCAAAATCTTCTTCAGAGTCTCCACCTGAACTCTTCCAGCATCTCTCGTCAATTCCTCGAATTCCTCTATCACTTTCTCCCCATCAAATACTTCCATCCTCTGCAACATTTATTGTGTTTATAAGTACATGTATGTGTTCAAAGATACATGCGCAGGTTCATTAGTTTAATTAAATTAATTTAAGTGCATGACTTTTAATTTGTAATTAATTATGACTTTTAGATAATGAATGGCATTGGGGAATATCCAAAATTACCTGCCTCCTATGTACATCCCAAATATCACAAATTATCTATCCCAAATTATCTGTCTCTTAAATACGTGGAGATTATCCCAAATTACCTGCCCTCCTATAGAGGTGGGGAATATCCCAAATTATCTGCATCTTATACACGTGGAGAATATCCCAAATTACCTGTCCTCCTATCTAAGTGGGGAATATCTCAAATTACATGCCTCCTCTATACGTGGTAATATCCAATTTACCTGCCTCCTATATACATTGGGAATATCCCAATTTACCTGCCTTCTATATACATTCTGAATATCCCAAATTATACTTGCCTCGGGTATACATTGGGAATATCCCAATTTATCTGCCACCTATCTACCTTAGGAATATCCCAAATTATCTACCTCCATCTACATTGGGAATATCCCAATTTACCTTCCCAATGTACCTGCCTCTTATATACATTGGGAATATACCAAATTACCTGCCTCC